GTGACAGTTGTTGTTTCGCAAGCAATTGATTCAAATGTACTCTTATTGTTCGCTAAATGTCATACTTTGATAAAAAATTCAAATAATCATTAGAGCAATATCATTACATAATTTATAATTTAATTTTTCTTCTAATGGTATGATTGATTAGAGACTAAGTTTATTTGTATATAATTGATTTTAAATTATTGATCGTTCAAGCTCAACTCCGGTTTAAGTTTTTGAGTGAAAAACAATAAAATCATGGCTAACAATCAAAGTAATCATAATGCTCTTAATGATTCTTTTGGCAGTAAGTGAAGTGAATTCCAATTCAAACAATAAAATTAACGAATCAAGAAAGTTTTGATTAGCCAAGAAACATATATTAAATACATAAAATTATTTTAATCTAATTATTTCTTTGCTAAGGATGCTCACATACATTGATGGTCATTCCACGAAACCATTACAGATTTGAAGTACCTTGGAGATCATTATCTGACAAGGGAAGTATCTCAAGTGGTAGAATCGTTTACGATTTTTTTAGGTTTATATTTTAGAGGACCGAAGATTATTGAACATGTATTTTTGCTTTTATTTCGCTAGTGCGCGATTCGTGGTGTAGAGTCATTTTGAGCCATGACAGTATCGTGATCGTAAACGATTCTACCACTTGAGATACTTCCCTTGTGAGAGTAAAAACTTTTTAAGATTATTTTGTTTGTTACAAGGACAAATCTTTAACTGTTGAAAAGTTATCGGAAATTTTCTTAAAACCAATTGATTTAATGAACGTTTTGGAAACATCTTTTGGTCAGGATGACTTATGAACTGTCATCAACATGAACCATTCAAAAAAGTTTTTACTGTCAGAAAATAACCTTTAAATTTCAAATAGAGGCCAAATAACGGAATAATCCTGAATGACCTTGAGCGTTAAAATGACAATAGTCAAATCTGCCCATAATTCGGAATTTGTAAAACCATATATCAAGCGAAAGCTTATGATGAGTGGAATATGCAGACAGCGTCTAAATTGTAAAAAATTGAATGAGTTTCAGTAGAAATCTCAGACCTTTTTTTGTGCTTTCGTACTTTTCATCTCACTTAGTGAACGGAATCGATGGCTAGTCTTGTGCATTTCTGTTAGCTAAGTAGCCTGCAAGATTGATTTTCAAATCAAGAAGGAAAAATGTTTTGGTGCCGTTTGCTTTTGTTAAATTTGTGGTATGCGAGGGTAAATTGTCTTGCATTTGAAAGTCCATTACGTGACAGTTTGATTCACTTTGCACTTCGCGTACACTCAACTTCGTTGTTAGCCTTTCAGTATAGATCTGTCAAAAATTGAATAAATGCAACTTATACCAAATACCAATTAACAGATGTAACTTATTTACTTTCGATTACTTGAGTGATTTACGAATTGGTTGTAGAATGCTTTGAAATTTTACAGAAATGTTCGATGTTTGAAGAAAACTTTAATGAGAAATGTGATTTTCTGTCATAAAAATTAGGTTATAGATTTTTGATAGATTATAGTGACGAGTGAAATCGAAACAGCAAAATGAGTAACTTGACGTGTAAATCAAAGGTGTTAGACCCATGGATGGATTCTACTTTGAACAGCCAGAATAACTAATTTATTTGATGATTCAATATCTGCGTTACAATAGTTAAAACATCGCTTTAAAATCAATGAGTGTCCTTTTCCAATAGTTTGGGTCCGTACTATTGTCGGTAATATTAACGAATTAATGCAACAAAGGGCCAATGTTAACAGTAAATAACATTAAAATTGATATATTTTCTGCAATAAACTAGAAGAAATAAATGTAATTTTGCAAAAAATTAAGTCAAAGCAAAATTTTTCATTAACCTACCAGTATGAAAAACCGTTTCTCGAGAGTCACAAAGTCTCCGATTTTCAATCCATTGTATGGTCCAGCAGCTCGATCCATTATTTCCAAAACCTGTATAATAACGCCAGGCGCAAACAATTCACAAGTTTTTAATTTAATACTTTGAACTCCATTTATTGATCCAATAAATTCAATAATTTAACTTTTCTTTACCTTGCTTACTGATTGCATTGAAAGTTTATTCCTGCAACTCAGTTGGTGCAGTTTAATCGTCAATATACCAAGCTAATAAGAACGAGATGGAAAAGAAGTCAATATCATTGCAAATAGAGCCGGAACCTTGGACTGTTCCTAATGAAATCATTGACGGATTTCTTTGAAAAGCTGCCTGCAAAAGTTGTCTGATTTTGGCATAAGATTACAATTGATTATTGAAACTGTAAACTGAAAAATGGCATAAGATTCAAACTCTAATTAATATTTAGGTGTTTTGGTTCATTTCATCTTTGATTTACATCCAATAATTAATAAGTCCATGTGCAGTTGGATTATCAAATTTTATATCCAATGATCACTTAGAAAACTTCCCTTGTCAGTCTGTGATCAAAGCGAAAAAAACGCAGCAAATGTCAACTCGAATTAATTCGGTAAGTGACATTTTGGTTCCATTTCTATTGCTCATACGTTGTAAACCTTGAATGGAAACTTGCAATTAATCGATCATTTTGAGTGTTTGATAAATAGGACTGAGTTCTGTGTTAGCTTAAAATAGACTTTTACCCATGATTAGTCATTGAATGAAAACAAAGTCCGATTAAAACCAATCATTACCTAAATATTAGAGTTCAAAGCTTGCGTCTTTTATCAGTTATCAACCCTTAATTACTTGTGTAATGAAACTTCCGAAAATCAGGCCTAAGATTCCAACGGACAGAAGAATGGAGAGAGCACCGGTTGCAAGCAAATTGCAAAACAAACTATTATAAACTCTGATAATAGTACCAAGGAAAAGGTCGAAATCACTTCCCGAGGAGATAACAAAAAAATAGCACAATAACACGTAGCGTAACTTGTATGATGTGACTTCGAAAGTATTTAGGTGTTTAATGACTTTTGAGCAAAACAATTGAATATCTTTTTCAATAAACAATCCATGCTTTGAGTTATTCAGCAATAAGTCAGCGCAATCGATCAGATCACGTAATCGATAGAGATGAAAGTAAAGAGAGCACATGATGTACCAGCCGAATCCCATGATTGCACTAAAGGTAATAGCAAGCGAGAAGCCGAACGTAGGTGCCCATAAAAGAGCGAAAAAGGCCAACTCAGGATTTTGGTAAATCAAAGGATTAGCCAGTACAAGTGATAAAGAAAGAAGCGTACAGAATAGAGGAATTATCAGCATAATCCAATAAATGGTTAATGAGACTAAATATATGGTAAAACGAAATCTTTTGGTATTGAGTTCATTCATCTGTAAGTCAACCGGGTTGAAGCCATTACGACAAACTTTCCATGTAGACAGAACTTTGAACTTTCCTTTGGCTTCAAGAGTCAGAAGCCATTCTCGAAATAAATACATTACTAATATTGCCACTGAAATCCACAATAATAAAACATGACCATCTTTAACTCGAAATAAAGGATCACCGAGGTAAATGGCAACCGAATCATTTGTATTTTTACTAAGTATTCCGCACCTTATCACAGTGATGATACAAGAGACTGATATCAGCCAATCCATCCAATTAAATCGACGAAAGCCAAACGTATTTACTTCAACAGAGTCGCTTTGGTTCAGACCATTGCGGACAATTTGAAAGAAGATTGTCAACCTTTCTGTTTGTCTTATTTTGTTACAAACAGTTCCATCAAATTCCTTCGAATCGGGAATTTCAAACGCATATTTATTCTGAAAGAAACTTTTTTGTTGACTCAAAACACTTCTAACTTTAGCAGCCATTATTTTCTTGAATTCATTTCTTTGCTTCATTCAATGAAATATTGAAAACTCTGAAAAGTCTAGTTTATATTGATGAAATTCAATTCATTATAAGAACAATTCTTCTCTTGTTGTGATGCTTCTTAAGAGACTTTCTTTTCAATTAATTGATTTGCAAATTATTGATTGTTTCAATTTTAATGGCTTACTTTTGTTCTTATCATCGTTAGAGTCTTAAATATGGAGTTTATTGTGGAAATCGGAAATTAATTAAAAATATATAATAATAAAAAGTTAGTTGAAAACTTGAACATTCAATTGAAAAATGTCATGCATGGTATTGAATGAAAATATGGCATTTTTTGTTATTGACTTAAATCCATCTTGCATTTTCAATTGAATTAATCCAAACCAGTATTTAAATTATGACCAATTCAGCAACCTGATTATTCCCACTCGAAATAGGCATAATCGTCAGAAACACGAGTGGGAGGAAAAGAAAGAACCAAAGTGCTTAATGTGCGCTATACAATCTTTCTAATTTCTAGTAACCAAAAGATTCTCTAACCAGACTTACCAACTGAAACTTTACACAACTGTTTACTTCATGAGCTAGTAGTTGATTTGAAAAATCAATCAGAACGCATTCAATTCATTCATTTCAATTGGAAGCAGAGATATTGATACTTTTGCTTGCAGAATTTGTGAGCGAAATAATTAGAAAACTATTTAAAAAAGTAAAAAAATTCATTTTGAGTTTTGTAGTAAAAAGGCAGACTAATCGATAAGATCAGATAAGCGACAGAGATGAAAGTGGCAAGAGCAACAAAGTTACCATGCGAATAATGTGAATAAAAATACAGAAACGCACAGAAAAGAAGAGTTATTAGCATAATGGCATAAATGATTTATGAGGGAAAATGTACGGTAAAACGAAATCTTTTGGTATCGAGTTCATTAATCTGTAAGCCGATCAGGTTAACCAACAAACCCTCCATATAATGAACAGAACTTTGAATTCTCCTTTGGCTTCGTGAATTTTATATTTACGAGAAATGTGACTAACTAATTCAATAGTTATGAAATAAATTGACTTTAGATTATATTTGATGGATGAATGTAATATGAAATTCAACTTTAATGAACAATTTTGTTTGATCGTCTCATATAAAAATTACAAATTTTGTTAGGTTTCAACATAAAACCCGTTAGAAAAGTTTACATTTAGTATTTTTAATAATTCATTATTGGTTTAATCACCTGTTTGAATGACTGAAATAGACGCTTTCTTATGCTTTCAATAAATTAATGGAAAATCGTTCTGGATTATGTCCAAACATAGATGGATTTGAGACAATATATAAGTCCAACCATAGTATAATGAGAATATAATGAGATGAGTAACTTGACGTATAAATCACAGGTTTTAGATAACTGGATAAAAATTGCTGAATATCGGTTACCTCCGAAAATGTAAATAGCTCGACTTTGAAACCCAAAATGAATGATTATTTTGATGATCTACGTTATGAGAATCCATCTCTTTTATATCAATAATTTCTCGTCTTGTCTTCAATGATTGCGTCCATGCAATTGTGAATTTGCAATATTAACAAATTAATTCAACAATGGTCCAATGTTACAGGTGAATAGCATTAAAAGTGATATGTTTTCCAAGGTGAACTAGAAAAGATTTATGGGGTTTTGTTACAAGTTAATAAGCCAAATCAACTCATCTTACCAGTATGAAAAACTGTTTCTCGAGAGTCACAAAGTCTCCGATTTTCAAGCCATTGTATGGTCCAGCAGCTCGATCCATTATCTCCAAGACCTGTAGTTCAAACGCAAACGATTCATAAGTTTTTGGTCTACTTTGAACTCACTTTTGAATTCAATAATTTAACTTTACCTTGCTAGCTGATTGCGTTGAAAGTGTATTCCTGCAGCTCAGTTGGTGCAGTCTAATAGTCAATGTACCAAGCTGATGAAAAGAAGAAGGAAAAGAGTGAAGTCAGTATCGTCTCAAATGCAGACGCAAGCCTAAAACTGCGTTTGGAGAATAAGCTCATTTTATGATTGTATAAGAACAATTTTAAGCATTTTAAATATAATTACAATCACCAACGTACTTGGGCAATGAAACTTCCGAAAACGAGACCGAAAATTCCAACAGACAGCAGAATGATGAAACCAGCAGTTGCAAGTAAATTACAAAACGAAACAGTGTGAACTCTGAGGATAAGACCGATGAAAACGTCGAAATTACCTGTCAAAGCAATGACGGAAAAATAACCCAACAAAACGTAGCGTAACCTGTGTGAAGCGAATTCGAAATCATTGAGGTGATGAATGATTTGTGAACAAAACAATTGCATATCTTTTTCAGCAAATAACCCATGTTTTAAGTTGTTTAGCAAAAAGTCAGCGCAATCGATTAGATCACGTAATCGATAGAGATGAAAGTAAAGAGAGCACATAATGTACCAGCCGAACCCCATAATGGTATTCAAAAGCGTAGATAACGAGAGGATGAATACCGGTAGCCATAAAAGAGAGAAAAGAGTCAACCCATGAATTTGATACGCCCAAGGATTGTTCAATAATAGGGATAAATAGAGAAATATACAGAATAGTGGAGTTGCTAGCATCGTCCAATAAACGAACAATGTGACTAAATATACGGTAAAACGAAATCTTTTGGTATTGAGTTCATTCATTTGTAAGTTGACCGGGATAAAGCCATTACGACAAACATTCCATACAGACAGAACTTTGAATTTTCCTTTGGCTTCAAGAGTCATGAGCCATTCTCTGAAAAAACCCAGTCCTATTGTTGCCACTAAACACCATAATAACAATACATAGCCTTTTGCATCACGAAAAAATATATTGCCAAGGTAAACGGCAACCGAGTCATTTGTGTTTTGAGTGAGTATTCCGCATCTTATTGCATTGATCAAACATAAGATTGAAATGAGCCAATCCATCCAGTTAAATCGACGAAAGCCAAACGTATCAACTTCAACAGAGTCACTTTGATTCAGACCATTGCGGACGATTTGAAAGAAGATTGTCAACCTTTCTGTTTGTCTTATTTTGTTACAAACGGTTTCGTCAAACTCCTTCGAATCGGGAATTTCAAACGAATAAATCTTTCGAAAGAAACTTTTTTGTTTACTCAAAAGACTTCTAACTTTAGCAGCCATTATTTTTTTGAATTTATTTCTTTTTTTCAATGAAAACTGTGAAAAGTCGATTAATGAAAGATGAAATACAATGTATGTATAATCATTATAAGAATAATTTTTCTACTGTTGTTATGTTTCGTGAGAGATTGAACTTTCAATTAATTGATTTGCAAATTATTGATTGTTTGAACTTCAATGGCTCGCTTTTGATACCAATCATCATTAAAGTCTATTTTTTAATATTGAAGTTCATTTTAAAAATCGTAAATAATTAAAAAGAAAAAAAGATAATGAAAATTTTATCGAAAAATTGACTAACTGATTGATCCAAAAATTATTGACTGTGGCAATTATGATTCTAATCACCAGTAAAGCCTTGATTTCAATAATGAATTTCATATGAGAATCGCAAAAAATATTAAGAAAAATATAGTCCAATAAAATGATAGTCGAAAAATTGACTTCGTTTCAATTGACTGACAAAAGTTGATTATTGGAATCAAATAATTTAAAATAAAATGTATTAGTATCTCGCATCTATTTCCTTTTGGTTTTGGTGAATGACCGAAAATATTGGTTTCCAAGTGTTTTATGAACTTTATTTCGACAGTTGGCGTGAATAACGAAAAGACAATGAAAAAGACTAACTTGTTATTTCTTTACAAAATAATTTAATGAACCAATTCGATATCTAGATGAGCTGCAACAATAGAGTCAAAAGGAATGACTGGACTATAATCGGTTGACTCGAATTAATGTGCACATTTCCCAGACTCACAGAGAATCAAAGGCTAACTGGTCTGGTTGAGTCAACTTTAATAGACCTCATAGGGTTCATTTCAAATTATTGTGACAAGAAATTAATTATACCCAAAGCAATTGTATTCATCACAATGATGATTACTTTAATCATTCAAGCTGATTTGCGAATAATAAACAACTTTTACTGAAAAACATTATAAACTCGTGCAAAGTTGAGGTTTCAAATTACGTTGTGGTCGATGCATAAGCATGAGAACTGAAGCAAATAACATTTGACTCAAAGTGTCATGTGTTATAAAAATTGACGCTTTTATTTCGTATCATTGATTATAAACTCATCTAGCCAACTTGGTCAATAGTCTTGAATAACTCCAAGTTTACACTAGTTTATTTTTGCATTATTAGTGTGACATAAAACAAACCTTTTGCTCAAAAGAGATGATTCGATGACTAAAGCTGACTTTATCCTAATATAATAAAAGCTGCAGCCTGGGTCAGGCTTACTAAAAATCATTTGGTCATTTTGCAGTAAAAATTATATTGCGATCATAATTGATGACTAAGTCTGGTAGGATATTAAACTCGATAAAATGATTGAATTTTGATTCAAAGTCTCAACAATGGAGAGGTAAAAAAGCTTACTCTATTCAGTAAGAAATAAGAAAGTATCACTTTTGATAACTTGAAAGACTTGAGTTGAATTGATTGCATTAAAATGAAAAGTAAAATAAAAAGTTAACTTACATTTAAAACAGGACAATCTGTGTGTTTATTCAGATGAGAACCAGACATTTCTTTGAACCTTTTGCCTCCAGAAGTCTATCAGTTATAAACAATATTTTCTCAATCATTTTCAATTGATTATGTTAATGGCCTGTTCAAATCACAACCATTTGAAAAAAGCAGAGCAAACTAATTATGATATTGTTGAATTAAGTTAACAATGAGAGTTGTATAAGCCCAATTTGATGGAAACAAGATTAACCATGAAAATTGCATTCTATCTCATTTTGTCATTTTTCATCTTCTCCAAATTGAATGGCGTCTCTCTTCAAGAAAACCATTCTTGTAGATCGATAAAAATTTAATATTAAAAGGTAAAAGATATTAGATAAATGTTGCAGACAATTGTTGACATTTGAATAAGGCAATGAAACTGGAAGCATTGAATTTTGCCACAAAAAGAGTTGATCAGTTTTTATTGAATATTAAATAATGAACATTCCAATGATGATAATGATGAGAGCAAATAAGGTTAACAGATGATGAAAATTGTAATATCATGCTACCATTATCATGAAGGAAAAAGTTTGCTGATAAAATTGGCAAAATATAAAGGAAAAGGAATAAAAGAAAAGCGGAAAAACGGGAAAAGAAATGAAAAGTAAATTCAATGAGAAAATGTTTCAAAACTGAACAAAACTTTATTCAAATTCAAATGCAACTGATGATATCAAGTTATAATTTTTTAGCTTCAAACACATTCACACACAATGCTCATCAACATTGACCTCCTACAGTTTCGGTTAAAAGTAGAGTTCATCTTTTTCCATTCTTTAGTTTATTTAGTGAATAAGCTGGGAGTGAATTTGCTATCAGATAATTGGCCTTAACAATGAATTTTCACCCAAAAATAAGGTTAACAAATGTTAACATTGAACAAAAAAATTATTTATTTACTTTTGTATCAGCTTTTGTTTGTTAAGATAAAAACATTGATTTATCTGAATCTTGAATTTTGACTTTTTTCTCTCTTCCTTTTTGCTGAATTTGTTGTAAACTTTTTCAACTGAAATTCATTCAATTGTTACACTCGACTGAATGAGAAATGTTTTTGTTCAGCATTTTTTGCTCTTCGCTTTGTTTTCACAGTAAAATGTTTTCCAAGAAATTTATCGATATAATTTCAATAATTTTCCACTGATCATTATATTCAAGTTTAAGAATGGAATTCAAGTTTTCAGATAAGTTCCGAGTGACCTACTTTACAAGTTACTTGTGAGAGCTTACAATCTGAATAAAATGAAACAGTAAACTTGAGAGGGAAGAGGAAGAAGAAAAATTGGAATAAGAATTATGATGAAAGTAAAAAGTTGGCATTTCAAGTTGATCAGTTGGTTAAAAGGCTTTGGGAGAAGGGAGATGAAGATGAACTTGGATGAGGAAGGATGAGAGTGAAGTAGCAATAAGAGGGAAGAAGGAGTTGGATTATTGGTTAAAGATGAAAACATGAGGAAGTTGAAAGTGAAGATGGAAATATGAAGGGAGTTTACTTGGAACCGTGAGAGAGATGAAGGGGCTTGATGATGGGATGAAGAGGAAGTGATGGATAAATGGCAACGGAAATGCGAGTCAGTCATCTTTGAGGTTATGCTGATGAGAATAACATTTTTTTACATTTTTTCTCATTCCCTTTTGGCCTCGTTTTCATTGGTAATGAAATTCAAATTTTATCCCTTTTCCAAGTATCTCTTCATTCACTACCTATACTTCAATCGATACAATAATTTTGTTCAATTTTGATCTTGAAATGTTTATTACAAGTCAGAGTAAATACTGATTTACAATTAAAGTCAAGTTCAAGTAAAAAGTGCGATTAAATCACGAAAAGCTCAAGAGATCGATTCAGGTTCAAGTCTTAAAACTTAATCTTTGTAACAATGAGTTATTGACTTAATCCTCTCAACTCTGAACATTGATCTAATTGTCAAGATATGTTTGAACAAATGATAAAGCAATAAATATCGAACAGAACTTCCAAAGAGATAATCTGAATAAATATGGAATAGTGATGATAATTCAAAATGATTTTCAAAAATCATTAAACTTGTCATTCAGCTTTGAAAACCTGATATTGGCCGATAAGTTCAACAATTTGGTCATTTTGATTTGCGAGAAATGGTTTGAAATAATTTTCATTGAGTTTGCTTTATTTGCTCATTATGAATTAGCATATCGATTTGAATTTGTTTTTTGCTTTTGAAGGTCTGCAATTTTTAGAGTAAATAAATTGAATAGATTATGAAGTTCATGTTAATGTTGAGAAATGAAGGTTTCTAGACAATCTAATTAAACTTGTTCCTTATTGTTCACTGATTCAGAAATTTTGTTCATTTTGATCAATTTAAACGAATGCAATTTTCGGATGAAATTTTGCTATTATTTGTTAACGGTTGCTAAGTGCGATGAAAATGCATTGAATAAAACTGTTTTTTTGATGTTGGTAATTATTGGCTGACATTTTTTTACCAAATTGAATAATGAGATGGAAAATGAACTTCTCTTGACTCTTTATTGTTTTTCAATTTTATGTCTTTTCAGATTCATGACAATGTTAATGTGCGTGTTTAATGATTATTTGTCAATGAAAAACAGACTCATGAATAACTTTGGGTTTAAAACAAAAATTCAAGGTTTTTCCTTCAGCTTCAAATGATTCATTTTGATTCAAGTTGAATCATTATTAAACTTGATAAATGATGAATCGAGTTCAATTTCACGATTAATTTGGAAATCACAAATTTTATTATTTTTCCTCTTTTTCTTTTACTGTTTATTCAATTATCGATAATTGTCATTGAAGGCATTTTAACTCTTCATTTATCAAGATTCACACCTAATGATAATCAATTTGACTGAATATCTAATTGATTTTGTCAGGTAAAAATAATGATGCAAATTATTCTCAAGCTTTAATCCTTTCAGCTTGTCATCAACCAACTCCCAGTTAATCATCATTACCCATTGAATGAGAAGGAAAAGCGTTTGGTTTCCCTCTTCAATTGACAGTTTTAATTGTTTCATGTTCAAGATTATCATTGAATGATTATACCCTTCACGGGCCTCAAGGCGGTTCAAGTGGCCAAAAAGGTAGAAACGCATTTATTGAGTCACGCGCTTTTTTCATCGCTTTTGTCAATGCATCACTAACCTCTTGTCATTGATCTTAACCCATGAGAATTGACCTCTCCCATTGACCCTAAGAGGCCCATTCTCTTCATTGGCACACCTTAAGATGTTAGTTTAATGAATGGCTAATGAAAATGATGAGAATTG